CTTTTTTATTAACAAATAGTGGGACTGACTGTCACATTATAATGCCCCCACGGCTGAAAGGGCGAGCATGTTTGGTGTGACGGGGATTCGAACCCGCGACCCACAGATTGCGAGTCGAGTGCCCTAACTACCTGGCCATTTTACTTTTGTGTGTACAGTGGTTATTTATTTTCTTCTGGGATCATAAGTCACTAGTTATTTGTTCCTGAAATCCGTGCAAAGCTACACAAGAGCTATCTGAGCCAGCCATCTCTAATTTTGAGCCACCCAGTGGCACAGCGGCATGTCTGCGGACTTACAACGCTAAAATCCGGGTTTCGATACCCATGATGGACAGAACACAGATAGCCCATTGTGTTGCTTTATGCTTAACTTAAAAACAAATCAAATTCTAATTTTGAACTGAAAGATAGAGGAAAGTTAGCTAGCCAACATTATCCACCGAAAACCTTTGGAATACTCAAATCGAATAGTTGGCCACAAAGTTAGGAGTGCAATTTTGTAGCAACGAGACGCGAACCTTAGACCATCGAATTCACAGTTTCAGCACACCAGGCCACGCCCGGTCCCGAAGTCACAAAGGTACCTGACCTATTTGCATACTCCCTTTCAAACTAGGTTTTAAACACACTAGTTTTAAATACAAAGCAACAAATATTACACACAGTATTTCTTCTCGATATCTCACAAAAAATGACATCTTTCAAAGCAGATGAAAATGAGGAATTTTTTATTATTTGTAGAGAATGAGTTATATGCATATTATTATCATTTTTTAAACATGAAACATGACTTGAATGTGATCTAAATCTATAGTTATCGGTTTCGTAGATAAATATCAAATCGTAAGAATTCCTTTCATAGGATCAACATGGGATTTAAATAATTATTAACTTTACACAAAAATTCAGTGGTAGTCTTCGACTGTAATATAAGTAACACACAACTCTGAGAGAATGAAGATAATACAACAACAAAAATCTTAGTTCCGAAGTATTACTTTATAATATTAAATATTTCTAGTAGCTTTCATTTTATCGGAAGCCCTTAACTAACACTGCACAATGTTTTGTCAATCAAAGGTCACCTACCACTTCCGATCCTTCCTTCAAGGTTGCTGTTACTGTCGATGGTCCCGCACTATCCCCTGGTTTCACAGATTCGAAAGGCCTACCACTTTCTGTTCAAAAGTAGATTAGTTTATTCGTAACGATCCGTCATGATCGCAGTCACCAGCACAGATCACAGCCACCACGTTTGTGTTCGCTACGAGCCCACGGTAGACACATTGCTTGTGGGTTAATTAATAAGAATAGACAGCTTTATGTTTGATTATTGCGCCCTCTTGCAGTAGTATCTAGAGTTACAAGTTTGGCTAATTAGTAAAGGTAAGTTTGTTTCATTGTCGCGTCCCCTTGTGGTTATAACAAAAGCTATAAAAGCTTAAACAGAGATCTATTAGATGTTCATCACACACTGTACCTCACAGCAATCTATTTGTTTTTTGTTATGTCTTTGCTATTCTTATTTCATCTTAATAATTGTTATTTAATAGTTTTCGGACTTTGTCTTTAAATCCAACCAATTTTGTAACTATATTTTATTTTGGTCACATAATTGCAACTAGAAGTCGCTAAGTAAAATAGCTTACTTGATGGCGAAGTCGACTCTGAATCACGACCTAACGCTAGCTTAGAAACTAAAATAACTGTCGACGTATTGGAACTTGGCTCATCATCAGAGAATCGCAACAGAACTGTACAAATTTAGAATCAGACCCAACTTTTGTGTTTTTGAAGAAAATAATATATAATTAAGCATTCTGTTTCAAACCTTTTCAGTAATTTACTTCTTACTTATTTATAACAATGTTTTATCCAAAATTATCTGTTAGCTGACATCCATATAATTTCCCCTCTATTCACTACAAGCGCCTGAAATTAAAGTAAATTTTGTTGCTAAAATAAAATGTAAAGCAACTTCCTTTACGTATTCTGGTCTTCACAACGTTTTGTTTTAATTTCGTTGTTTTTACTGATTTACTAACAAAATAATTAATGCTGATTTACTTTATTTTGCTACTTACCGTTTAAACCATAAAGCCTCCTGATGACTCAGCGGTAAGTCTGAAAAGATATAACACTAAAAATTCGGATTTCGATACCCGTAGTCAGCAGAGCACAGATAACTCAGTTTGTAGCTTCGCGCTTAACAACAAACAAATCATTAACTGTCGTTCTAATAATAAGTATTTAAAAATAATTTTAAATAACAATTGTTTCTAGGTAATGCCCATTTATTCCTTATTTATAGCCGTTCCCTTTTCTGTCATTCTTTGGGAACAGCTTATAGTTCCTGGCAATATGTCCTTTTAAGTTTCAGTTGTAGTCCTATTGTTCTTTGGTTTACTTCTCCTCTTCTAGATCCATCAGAGGGAGTTGATGTTTCCATTATTTGATCTGACGCTCCGTAATTGCTGGATAGAGCTTTTAGTTCTTTATCTGCAGCTTTAATTGGTTCAAGTTCAATTGCTAAATAAACAACTTTTTTTAAAGATGTACGTCTATTTTGCTTTAGCCTAATCCTCGTATCCCTATTTACTCTGTCATTTATTAATTGGCCGCATTCCAACGAACCCATCATTTCATGTAAAATGTCTGGATAAATTAACTGGGCAAACCTTTCCACATCTTTAGGAAGTTCGGAAAAAGTTTCGTCCTACTTCCTTACCCTGCTCCTAAACTTTGACTTGGAAACTTCATTCTGACGTGACACTCCAAATCCCTTTGATACAGCAGCCACTAATGCCTGGTAGTTATTATGGCTCTCAGTTAAAGTTGGGCCTTTTAAATGTACAGCGAGTTGAATACCTTGCTGTTCACTATTTCATCCATTCTCTCTAGAAATTGTTTCAAACTGCCCTGATATGCCCCCACGGTATCTTTATTATTATCATGGTCTGTTGTTTTCTCAATTGGGCGATGTCATTGATATACGTAACTTGGTGAGGTACTGGTGTAGATGGAGTAATCCATAAAGGCCATGCAGTAATGGTAACAGGTGTAGACCAGATGGGTTTTTCTATTCTTTATTATATAGTTAGAGAGATATGACTGGTATGATCTTTACGTTTAACAATTTAGTTTCAAGATATTTTATTCTAGTAATGTACTTCCCTTTTTGTTTTATTTTATACTCCTCTTTGTTCTTCATTGATGTTCTTCTGTACATCTTTGATATTGTTATTACAATCATTCTTCATATCTCCTATAGCTCTTTCGATCTTATCTTTGATGAAATCAGTTTATTTTTGATAATTCTACTTTCTTCTGTAAATCGTATATCTCATTCTTGTAATTCATCTCTTACATCCCTGTATCTTTCTTCTTGATTTTTCCTTAAATCTTCTGTCTCATTTTTTCTACTATTTGTTTTCTCTCTTAGTGGTCTTTTTTTTTAATTTTCAATCCTTTTATCCTTGATCTTCTTTTAATTTTGTTTCTTTCCACAGTTTCATTATTCTTGCAAATTCCCAATCTCACTTTCTCCCTGATGTTTAGTCTGGATTCTATTCTATATTTTCCAAAACATATCCACTTCTACACTAGTGTTGTAATAGCTTTTTTTTTTTAGATTATTCGGTGAAATGACGAACGCTAAGTCCAGTCCACTTAATGATATCAACAATTTTATTTCTTCGACTAAAAACTCTACATGTTTCACGGTGTTATGTAACTAATAACGTAAAACAGCATTTACTTGCTAATTATCTCTTATTATTTTGTCGCACACAAAAACTCAAAACTTACAGCACTGAACTGATTGACTAAATCAAAGTCGTCGGAACCAGGGGTATTACAGCACTCTCACTTTTACATATTTGACTTGTATAGCAACTGTAAATTATATCATTATATCAACTGCATGTCTATCCAAGCACCTCCTTCCTACACCACTGTAAAAATTACGCACCGATTACTCGTTAAGTGATTAACAGACTTCCTAACTCAATAGTCAATCATCACCTACTCTAGCCTAACTCGCGTTTTATATTGTTCAACTGTTTTATACTTTTGAGTAAATTTAAGTACATTTGAGTAAACGTTATGTTATGTCATGCATTTACCACGTAATATCACTCTTTCCTATTCAAACAAAAGCACAGGCTATATGTTTGTATAAGTTTGTGAGATTATGAGACATCTTTTGTTATTTCACTGTTTTCTTTCGTTCTCCATTTTTTTTTATATGTACCAACATTTTAAGAATATCAAACTAAAAAAAAAAACTTACTATAGGTTAACTCGAATAATTCAGTCGTTATATTTCGTCTATTTCTAATCTCTTCATTAACTCGTAAATCTATCGTAGTGCGATAGAGGGCGATGAATTATTCCAGTTAAAATCAGGTAAGCCAGTATGCTACCTTTTTTTTTTGTCCCTCTAGCTTAAGAAGGAAAGTTTTTGACGGAGAAATTATTAGAAAAATATGACTAAAAATGTTTTGTCAGAAAAGTTGGTAAAACGTTATATCCCAATTCAGGAGCACGACATTTCTAAAAAACAAACAAAAACGCGAAAGTAAAGCTACAAGTTTAATGTTAAAAGTATAATTTTCAAGACGAGTTTTAGACCTACGTCAGAGATTATATATTATTACTGTTGAGGAATATAACAAATTAATAAAAAGGGTTCACATCGATTGCAATATCTGTACAAAATACGTGAAATATGTAGAAGACAATCAATTTCGTTAATTAAATAATCGTGGATAGACTATAGGAAGAATTTGCCAATCTGAAAATATTTTTATTTAGGGATACACAAGCAGACATATTAAAAACTTCAAAAACAACGTTTTTTTACAGCAAAAATAGAAAGTGCGCGTGATGAGAGAAAAAAAATCCAATATGCGTTTGCTAAAAAAAATCACCCAAAATCATAATTATATTTTTATATTGTTACCATGGTACATTCATTATACAAACAACGTTTCTGTTATATTGTATGCAAGCTAAAGCCTAAACTTAAAGCCAAGGAGTTCGAAATTAAGCTTAGAAAACTAATAGTGATAAAAAGTAACAAGATATACAGTTGTAAAGCCCTTTACTCACCTCTAATAACCTAAAATACTTTAGATATTTGAATAGATGTGACTATACTGTCACAATTAATTATTCATTATTATTCAGTGAACTAGCTGGTAATTGTTTTCTTTACCTCGCCAAAACGTGTAACTTCAGTGAAGAAAAAAATAATCCTGAATGACGTAGAGGACTAATATATTGTTTAATTGAATATTCTCTCTGCAGTAGGCTAGTTTCACCGAATTCATGGCTCATCAATGCTACTTAAAAGCGCAAAGGAAATAAATATATTAGGCCTCAATGTCATTCAGAATTATTTTATTTCTTTACTGTAAATACATTATTATTTTTCGTACGGTTTGTTTGAATTTATGCACAAAGCTACACAATGGGCTACCTGTGCTCTGCCCACCACGGGTATCGAAACCCGGTTTCTAGCGTTGTAAGTCCGCAGACATACCGCTGTGCCACTGGGGGGCTTTTTTGTACGGAAGTGTGTGTGTTTTCTTATAGCAAAGCCACATCGAGCTATCTGCTATGTCTACAGAGGGGAATCGAACCCCTGATTTTAGCATTGTAAATCCGAAAACTTACTGCTGTCCCACCGGGGAACAGAGAGAGAAAAAAAGAAAATAATCACAAATAATCTATTTACAATTAAAAGGAATACAATGTTAAAATAATTACACAATAAATAGGGACTTGCCCTAAAAAAAACTCTAGGTACGTTTTGGTGTCCTATGACAAAATCTTCAGGAATAACGGTAAAGGCATGGTTGGGACTTATATACCCACATCATTACATTCCTATAACGCCATCTAGGATTAAACTACCCAAAGTTACAACACATCTGTTCAGTAGTTTATTATTTCTGGACCTGGATCAGCTTCCTTGTTTAATACGATATCTTAGTTGTTGTTTTTTTCAATTATAATAGTTTCTCTGATATTTAGTTCTATTTCAAATTTTATCTGTTTTATCAACTTAGTGTTATTCCAGTCTATAATAACATGAGCTGTTTTCGCCACATGTTCTGCTAATACTATTTCATTTATAGCTTTCATTTCAGATTTTCCTATTTTATTGTGAAATATTCATTTCTGCCGATTAATTAACTGTTTTCATTTAATCACAAAGAAGTTGTAAAGTTAACATCATCATTATTTTGGTCACCTCTTTATAAGTTGTTCGAATCAATGCAAAAATGTCCTTTTCTAATCAGTC